GAAAGACAGACAGACAGCGGCAGCTGAACACAGGGTTCTGCCAAACAAAACGGACCTTTGGGCTGTCCCATCCCATGTGCACCACCTGCATTTCTTTCCATTTCAGAAATTTTTTTACTGTAAGGAGGCTGTGGCAATCTACCCTTATGCATGCTGGTTCTCATACGATTCTGGGATTCCAGGGTTGCTAGTCGAGGCCTGGTGACTTAGGAAAGCATCAGAGACAGCTTGGGCCTCTGTAGTTTTGGGACCTTCACTGGTTCCCAAATGAACACAGTGGACTATTGACCAGTATTCCCTGCCCATACCAAAGGCCTTGCTGGAAGGAGATTAGAAAATGGTGCCTACCACAATATGAAAAGATGGCAACATATTAGAACAGACCAACTTCTGGAAAGGGGTCCAGTTCCATTGGCAAGTCAAGCGCCATGCTCAGGCATTCTCCCAGCCACCAACGGTACTTTGAGGTGGGTGCAGCACGGCAGAGGGTCAGCTAACAAAAACAACAAAGGCAATGGAACACAAAGGATTGCACCCATGCTCCATGGCATACCAGGAACTCACCAGGAATCCCTACGGTCCAGGAACACCACCGTATGGGGACAAGTGACATTTCAGAAACTGAAGCAGTCCTCCACGGCGTGTTTACCAAGATACTTCATTTCCTACATTTGGCATCACTAAGACTAAACTGGGAGCCCTGGGAAATATAGACCGTACAGAATCTTCAAAAAGCTGCAGTCTCAAAAAATTCTTGAGGGAAAGAAACAACCAGGAAACCAGTTTCAAACTGGTTTACACTGATCATCTTTGTGCACCATCAAAGGCGGGAGTTGGAGGAGCCCCCCCCCAACTCTGAACAACATACCAATGAGAACTTATTTGGCTGCAAGATGGGTGGGAGACACAGCACTTCCAGAAATTAAAGCCTGCCCTGATTATTTTATGCTAAAAACCTCTCCCACTCCCCAACTGCACCCACCCATCATTCACGTACTTGGAAAAGTCACTTAGCTGGGAACTGAGTCCCGTTGCTCAGGTGTACTAATGGGATGCCTGAATGCACACCCACAGAACATGGACTTCAGCATCTGAATGCCCATCATGCCTGAAGTTCCCGGTGCAGTACCAGCAAAAATGGGGGCCAAACTGCAGGTTCAACGCAGCATGGCCTAATGAAACATTTTCACAGCTCACAAGACAATCCTCCTTTAACAAAAAGGGTAAAAATTGTCCCCCTAAACTGAAAAGGCAAGACTGTAGACATAGCAAAACCAATACATTCTGGTGAAATACTGTTTCTACAGCATCTACACATATGTTAACCCCCAATGTGTACAGGAGTGAAGCGGAGGTTTTAAAAGCAGTGCCTCTTAGCCACTCCCTACTTAGCCCCTAGAAGTCCATTACAGAACAGGCAAGGCAGAGCAACTGAGGCTAAAACCATGTTTGCCACGGAGCTGATGGTGAAGATAGATCCAAGAGCTGGGAGTCAGTGCCAAGTCTGTGAGTCCTTATCACTTCTTAGAATACACCTGTGGGCAACAAAACTCTGGGCTTAGCAGAGCTAGAAAAAATGCTCTTCTGATGTACAAGGCAACAGTTTTTGCTGATGGCATTACCGTTGAAAAGTTTGATAAAAACGACAACTGCTGAAAAGAGAGATTTCTAAAAATGAGAAGCAGGCTCTTCCCAAATCACAAAACAGCTACAGCACTTCCATCCGGAACTAGAAACTGGTTTCGTTAGTGGCCGGCTAAATACTTTATAAAACAAAGTTTGGCAGGCAACCAGGGAAGGGCAACTTAATGGACAGCAGGGCAAAGTCTTAGGCCTAAATTCACCCCAAGATTGCAAATCTACTCCTGAATGGAGTGTCGGACAGAGGCGGAAGACAGAGTTAAGGCTTCCCCATGGGGGAAAGAGGCCTTGCATACAGAAAGCCAGCAAAACCAAGGGCTAGGCAGGCTGCTCTACAACTCCCAAGTACTTCATGCACTGGGCATCTAAGACACAGCCAAAAAACTGATCCAGGATCCTCCCACTTGCGTGTCCAGGAACAGGCTCACCTGCTCTTTGGCTTACCAGTCCCCAGCTATTCCCATACAACATCTGCCTCTCATTTCCAGGACACCCGATGCAACTCCCCCCCCCCCCATAATGGTCACCAGATGGGATCCAAAGAAAGCGCAGAGGGCCATCTTGTGCAAGAAAAAAGCCAGCCAATGGCATTGCGCCAGTTCTCAAGGCCCCGCCAATCAGAAATGGGAGTGCTGCCTTACCCTCTGCACATTAGTGACGTGTAGGAACATCTTGATGTGGCATAATTAAGAACAGCGCAACTACACCAACAGGTCCCTTCCCAAAACAATCAGCTCACCTATGCGGCTTCAGTGCTCTTCACCTTCCTACTGCTGCCTGGTTTCCAAGCCCTAAGTCAGGTGCAGCTCACTGGCCGCCTCCCTCCAAAACATACACAAAAGTAGTCAGGTTTAGATTTTGTATGGACTCAACAAATAATTACGTGAGGACTTCATAAGAAAAGCAACTTGACAAGGAAGGAGTTGTGGGAATGTTAAAAAGTGATGTGTGTGGGGGAGAGGGGGCATTCTACGCACAACTTTGAAGCACAGCCCTTGGCTCACAGATTGCACTGGGGTAGCCGGGAATGGAGACGTCGCCCCTTTTCGGGCTCCGGGAAAGTGATCGGCAAGGGGCACACAAGTCTCTCCCACCCAACAAAACAGGGGCACACTAGCTGAGCATGGGAAGGAGCGTTGTGCTTTCTCCAGCTGTAGTGTTTGCATCTTTGTTCAGCTAGAAGATGCTAGCTTGGCTCGGGGAAAAGGGCCTGGGAAAAGGAGCACCTCTGGGGCCAACCATCACAAGGCAGAGACAGACATGGAGCAGAGATACACCACCTGCAGGCTGCCTGAGGGGCATCCGTGTCCCCACTCTTGTGTGCCCCCATGTTCCACTTCAGTTGTTGGGCAAGAGATAACACACATGTTTTAAAAAAAGATACCATGTACATGCAAGACTCCCAGACCAAAAAAGAGATTGTTACAACCGGCCAAATACTCCATAGAAAAGGGTGGTGGTGTTGTGTCTAATGTACAGAATGGTGATCCATCAGCTTTTTCATAAGCACCGCTAAAGGAAAAAACTAAGTCTTTGAAAGGGCTCCAAGTGAAGGTTTATTTTTATTTTTTTTTGCCAGGAGCAACTTTAATAGAAGCAAATGAAGTTTTTAAAAGGCATGTTAAGGACACAACGGGGGGAAAAATTAAAACGGTGGCAGCACAGATCTTGGGGGGGGGGGAGAGAAGGGAGGAGAAAAATTGGGTCATTCACCTCCCAACAAACCAGTGGGACCCAAAAAAGGACAAGATAAACCAAACACAAGCACTCTGGCTGATGCCTGCCCAGTCAGCTCAGGAAGGGGGAGGAATCCCAGAGCGTGGAGGTAACAGCTGCTTCCCCCACATCCCAAGAGGGGCACACCTGCTTGCCTCTTTGCAGCCTTTCCCAAGAGAAAGCTTCAGCACACTCCACACTTCATCGCAGCTTCAGTCTTGCCAAGCCCCACAGTTTGCTCCTCATGCCCTGAATTTGCTCTTTAAAAAAAAAAAAAAGTTATTTTTCTGTTTCAGTGCTAGCCCCACCCCCACTTCTGGTCCTGTGATGATTTTTATTGTGAAGCAGGAGCTGAGAATAATAATAATCATAATTGTAATAATAATATACAGTATTAATAAGCTAGAATGGCTGCCTTAGGGTCAGACCAAAAGAGGGTTTCAATTTGAGGCAGGGAAGGGTCGAAGGCAGATTGGCAAGGGGAGAGAACGGGAGAGCACTGGCTTTTTCTTTTCTTTTCTTTTTCCTTTTTAAAAAATTTCATTTCCAAGTAGAACAAAAGTTAATGGGCAGGGAAGGGTGTGTGTGTGTGTGTGTGTGTGTGTGTGCAAGTTTTACCTATGAAGTTAGCAAAAACACAACATTCTCTCTGTTCCAGCTTCGCAGCGGAGAATGAAACAAAACAAAACAAAGCCAGCCAAGTGTTAAGAGACAGAAGAAAAATACCAAATACCTACAAGCTGAACAGATTTTGCTTGCTCCAATGGATATGGCGTAAAATTATGGGAGCGGGGCTATTCTTCCCCCTACCCCTAAAAAAAAAAAAGGTCTTGGATGCCTTAATAAAACAAAACTATGATCTAGAGTTTTGGATAGGGTCTGTCAAGATGACACGTTCCTCCCAGAAGTGCAATGGACTGCCACGCCAACCTTGCGGGTTCCAGAACCACAGAGTGACCATTTCCCAGAGAGGGAAGAAGACACACACGAGGTTTTAAGACATCCCTCCCACAATCTCCTTCACTTCCATTCACGGGGGGAGCGGCAGAGAGAAGAGCCCTGCAATGCTCGGGTTCCCCCCTCCCCAGCCTTCTTCGGCAGGATTCAAGTAAAACTGGAGGGGGGGGGGGGAGAGGGGAAAAAGTGGTCAGCAGCATGGCAAGAGAGAAGGGGAGAGGCGAGAGGCCCGGGGCTGCCCTCCCCATAGTTCCTCATCATTAGCATGTTCCACACGGCTGTGGAGTCCCAGCCAAAGCTGAAGAACCCTCCCCCACAGATGGCCAGAGCCCGCAGGGTGGGCTGCGCCGGTGTCCAGTTGGAGTTCAGGTCCACTCTCGGAACAACCCCCCCCCAAAAAAAAAGGCAAGGAGAGGAGGAGAAAGTGGAAATTCCGAACCAGAAGTTTAAATAATCCCATAATGCAAGTCTCTATCGATTCCTTGTGAAGTCTCCTCGTGCCCAGAGGCCCCTTTTTAATTTTTTAAAATAACTATATATATATATATATATATATATATTTTAATATATATATTTGTATATATTATCCTGCAATTCTAGTTCAGATTCCCCTGCCATGCCAGACAGTTCCGGAAGGAGCACCAAAACAGCTGTCCCCTGGCCTCAGCGGACAGCACACAGTCGCCACCGGAGGCCCCCCCTGGGCAGTGCCTCCTCACTCGCCTCACTGGTCAGGGTGATCCATGGCTTCGCCGTAAGTGATTATCCTTTTGGGATCTGCAAGAGAGGAACAGAGACCTGGATTGAGCTATAAGTTAAAGAGCTGGCTACAGTGAAGATAATGAGAAAAGGTTCAGGGCCCCCCCCCCCCCCCCTAGTTGGCTTCGCACAGAGCTGCCACAGCAAGTGCTCCACGTTTCCCCTTCTGGGTTTCTCCCGTGGCACAAAGAACCCCCGGTTTCCAGGGCTCAGCCAACAGCATCCTTCCCTGGCCTTCCCACAAAGGGAACCCAGAACCCCTACATTCATCCCAGCTCATTGTATACGGGGCTGGTCTTGAGGACAACTCAGAAACTGTGGCTCGTACAAACTGCTGCGGCTGAACTCCAAACGGGAGAGCAAGTGACAAGAACCATTTTGGTGTAGTGGTTAAGTGCGCGGACTCTAATCTGGGAGAACCGGGTTTGATTCCCCACTCCTCCACTTGCAGCTGCTGGATGACCTTGGGCAAGCCATGGTTCTGGCACAGCTGTTCTTGAAAAACAGCAGTTTCTGTCAGAGCTCTCTCAGCCCCACCTACCTCACAGGGAGTCTGTTGTGGGGAGGGGAAGGGAAAGGAGTTTGTGAGCCATGCTGAGACTCCTTTGGGTAGTGAAGGGCGGGGTATAAATCCAATCTCTTCTTCTGTTTAAAAATCTGGAAACTGATCTGGCTGCCAGTTTGTTTTCTGGTTGAGTTCAAGATGCTGCTCATTTACATTCACAGCTGGGACCCACAGTCCTTAGGGACTGGCAAGCCAACATGAGCTCCCCTGCAGCAGGTTGTGATCAGCACATAAGGCCATACTCCAGCACAGGCAGATCATCTGGAGCAGGGCCCTCCCCTGCTTTTCCTCTCCTTGGGGAAGAGGTGAACAGCTCCTCCTTCCTCATCTCTTTCTGCACAAGCTGCAAATGTTTTTACACCAGTGCACATTCACCTGTCAAGGTCTGCTTGGTGGTGGTTTTAGTTTCCCGTCAGGCCACTTTGTGGTATTATGAACTCTGACGTTTTAGAAGAAATTACAGGTTGGACTGGGGGGAGATGGGTTTGAATCTCTGCTCAGCCATGAAAAGCTTTCTGGAGGACATACAGTTACTCACACACCATCTCAGCCTCATCACAGGAGTGTTGCAATGGTAAAATAAAAAGAGATCCCTTATATATACCCAGTAAGCTCACGCACTCATTATTGGCTTGATCAGGCCAGGAAGACACTGAACAGAAAGGTTGAAGTTCCTTACCTTGCTTTTGCAAATTACAAAGAGATTCCATTTCTGTGGAAGAAAAAGTAGGGGAAATGTAAATATTACCCAGCGTGCCCTGGCAAACCTGAGCAGATTTCAAATCTGAGGTCTGACTTTAAACCAACCAACTAAATCCATTTCCCAAGGGCCAGTGCACTCAAAGAGATCCTGCGACATAATACAGGGACCGCACAGCCAGGAGTCTGCTTAGCACGGGATCGTATTTAAATCATGTGTGAGTTTCCTAAATGCTGCACAATGTTCATAGACACAGGACTCTGCCCTCAGGTACACAGTATAAATGTTACAGATCCATAAGAAAAGAAGAAAGAGGACTGGGGAGGGGGCAAATACCCAAACTCTAAAACATCATTCAACATTTTCACATCAATATACTGCTCTTGCTAATGATACTTGACCTCTCATTGTGCCAAGAGCTCCGAGACCCTGAGCAAGGACCACAAGGGAAAAGCTGCTCTGAGGATTCAAAAGTGCTGCCCAGCACACTAATGAACCTTTTCTTCAACCATTTGATAATTGAGACAGGTCTGGGATTTCTTTCATGAAGACCCACAATACCAGATTCTGACACCAAGTTCCATCATTGCAAATAGGTGAACAGTGACAGAAACAAGATACAGCGGGACATTTCTGCTTGGATAAAGCCGCCATCGGAGGGTAAGGGGAGAGGTGCATCCCAAACCCATGCTACCTGGAAAGAATGAAACAGTGAAAGCCCCGGGACAGAAGCAGAATCCAGCCTTCAAAGAAGCCCAGAGGAAAAGCCCTCCTTCCCTGATTTTAGCCAAAGAAATAGATCAGCAGTGGCTGTGCTACCAAGGCAGAGGGCTTGCTGCTGGGCACATCTGGGAAGAAACACCTTGGGAAAGGCAAACAAGCCTAGACGGGGATAATGGGCCATGCCTCTAGCCGTCTACCTTAGAGCACCCCTCTCTCTCAACCTCAGCACTGCAACACACCAAGAAATCAGCTCAAAGCCTGTGTTCAGAGGTGACAGCGGCATCCGCAAAGCACTGAATCCACAACTTGTCTCTTCCTCCTGACCTAGTTGGCCACTGAAGCACGGCGGTGCCAGGCTGGGCCACTCGCTCCATTTCCCAGGCTGCTCTCCTGCCACCTGACATCAAGCGAAGAGGTGAGAATCCAGAGGCAGGACTGGCACCCGGAAAGGCCCCCATCAGCACCTCTTTTCATGGAAATCAGCCCCTTCCGACCAAACCTGCTCATCTTCCTCTCCCCTCCGCTGCTACCAGCAACCACCAATCCCTGTCACCTTGTGGCTAGAAGCCATCAGAAAGTACCCTAGTCTAGAGATGTAAAATTTCCAGATATTTTGAAGCTCGGAAAAAAACCCGTTTTTTTCCGGGTTTTTTCGGGGGGAAACAGAAATTTTCGGAAAAATTGAAAAAAATGCTACATTAGCATTTCTTTTGTCTTTTCTAGATTGAAAGTCATTCTGTTACTTTAGGAACATAAAATATGACTATGGACATTTTTATTTGGCATGAAATTATCACAACTAGCATATTAAAAATATAGTGTATCCAAACAATTATTACAAACAGAATACCCACCCACATGCAAAAACAAAACTGAAACCTTTTTATTTTCTTCTGACAATAGCACCTCCTAAAGGAAGAAATGCATCTTGCATTGGAGAGTTCAGTTTGTAACCTAGGACTGGCTTGTCCTCAGTGCACAGAAATTAGATCAATCTGATACCATATATATATATTTTAGAAATGATTTGGAAAATATTTGGAAGCAGGAACAAGAAAGGGGAAAAAAACTAAACCTAACAAAGAACTCCAAAACCAAACAAAGGTTAGTGGAAAGGAGGGCCAATATTAAAACCTTTTCATAAAAAGAGGTATATAAAACATATATAGGGGCCCAATTACAACCAATATATATAAAACTTTTTTAGCCCTGGTTATGGTTATGTTTTATATATATTGGTTGTAATTGGGCCCCTATATATGTTTTAATTTGTTATTATTAATAAATACATGTACCTCTTTTTATGAAAAGGTTTTAATATTGGCCCTTCTTTTCACTAACCTTTGTTTGGTTTTGGAAAATATTTGAACACCTTGTCTTAAAATATTTTATTAATCATGTTAAAAACGGTTTTTTTCCTAATTTTTCCGGTTTTTTTCCGGACCTTCACATCTCTAGTCTAGTGGTTTTCAAGCTGCATTCCAGGGAGGCTTACCCAAAGATTCCCAACAAAGGGATCAGTCATGGCGCGCACGTTTTTCTGAAAAGAGTTTGGCCGCCACATCTGAGCTTCCTCCACAATGCAGAGTGGGGGGGGGGGGGCTTTGCCACGTGCAGCCTCCCGGGACAAGGAGGACTCTGTGGGAGTTGAACGTATGCCCCAGAATCTAGCATGGAGTTCCTCAGCAGACAGGTGGATAGGGGAGTGCTTCACTAAAGGTGGCAGTTTTGGGAAATCACTGCCCAGGATCAGTTGCCAGTGATCTAGTCCCAAATGCTATGCCTCCTCAAGCACAAGGACCATGACAGAAGGAAACGCTGCAAGAAAGCATCAGCTGATCTGGTACGCTATGCTGACTTTTGTAGCTCAAGAGGTACTTGGAGGGAGACAGGTGGATAGGGGAACGCTTCACTAAAGGTGGGAGGTTTTGGAAATCACTGCCCAGGATCAGTTGCCAGTGATCTAGTCCCAAATGCTATGTCTCCTCATGCACAAGGACCATGACAGAAAGAAACACTGCAAGAAAGCATCAGCTGATCTGGTACGCTATGCTGACTTTTGTAGCTCAAAAGGTACTTGGAGGGAGGTATCAAAACTGCATGAAAGTTGGGGGGGGGGAGTGAGAAATAGCAATCTTTGGAAAGAGCAATGCAAGCTTCATGATTTTTCTGTGAAGACCCTGGCTCCCAAGTATGCCAGACATTCAGCTGTCGATAGAACATACCAGGGGAGGTGGGGGGGAGAGACTGAAGGCCTTTTGGCTGCAGACAAACCAAGGTACATATCAACTGCCCTTTGAGAGACAGCTAACTGATCTTTAGTCACAGCCAGAGTACTACGAAAGCCAATTACAAGCAGGAAAACCCGTGGGAGGAGCAAACGCTCCCTCCCCCACCCCAGTAACTTGGTATGCCACCCACACATAGAGATTCCTCTCAATTCAGTCCCGCTAAGGTCAGAGGGCTCCAATCAGGAAGCTCACTGGGAAAGTTATCCAACATTTCACAGAAGCAGCTTTATACAGAGTATACAGATTGTTGGTCCCTCCAGCCAATAATGCCTGGCAGTGGCTTTCTAGCATCTAAGGCATTCCCATTACTCAAGATCTTTTAACTAGAGATACTGGGGAGCAGACCTGATACCCTCGGCATGTAACGCAAATCACCAAGCTATGGCTCTTCCCTTCCCTACGGAACTCAGCAGCATCTGACCAATACAATTCAACAGCTGCATTTGTGTTTGTTTTGTTCCCATTACCGGGGCGGGGGGGAGGGGGGAAATGGGGACAACAGGAAACAGACATTGGTAGCCAAGGGGTTGCCTAGTTTTAAACCCTACTGGAGGATAATATTTCACAGTGGCCAGGCACACCATAAGGAAACAAAGCCATTACCTTGAGTGTGATATAGAACAGCAGCCCTCAGGTCAAAATCACCCCAGCTTTCTTTCCTTTCTAGGCCTCTCTGGTACCTCTGTTCTTTGGTGGAGGCTAACAAACCGTTCGTAGGGGAGGCCAGCTGATTCTCTACATGATAGTCCTTGGAGAGAAAGATAAATGCCCCTGGGCTACTAAGTTCGGCTGGGTGCAGACCACTTGCTTGATGGGACTCCAACAAAAAACCACCCCCCTCGCCAGCAGTCCCAAGCTTTACGATGCCACCGAGGAGCTGCGGACTAGTCCGTTTGTCCAGCTCGTAAGCCTTGGGGAACACAGGCTGGTCAGGTCCCGAGGGAGCTGCGTCGCCCTGTGAAGCCAAATCATTAGGGCATTCCCCTTGAAATGTCACCTCCTCAGATTTACTGTCCACCAATTTCCTCACTGCAGTCTCAGGACCCGCATTGGGCTCATTTATAAACGATAAACCCCACTGGTTCTGGAAGATGTCACCAAGGCTCTGTTGGTTTGCCTGGAACGACAGTTCAGCTGGCGTGGCATTGAGGAGAACAGCTTGCATATTTGAAGGGTAGATAAAAAGACTCGACTTCTTCTGCTCCACGGCCGAGGTCATACCAGCATCCTGGGGTACTAACTCGGAAGAGGCCAGCAAAATGGCACTAGCAGCAGGCGCAAGCAGTGACTGGCTCCCTGTAGGACACACGCTGCGATCGGCCCCAGCTAAAAGCGGACCATTGGAAAAGCTAGCAGAAGTAACGGATTTCATAGCAGACATGGGGACTTGAGAAAGGCGGCTGGAGGGCTGGACTTCAGCGGCAGACGACGAACACAGGGAGGAGGAGGAGGAGGAGGAGGAGGAGGAGGAGGATGAAGATGACGACGACAAAGATGGGGCTTGTGCAGCTTTGTTGAGGTTCTCTTTTACTTTGCTTGCATAACTGATCTTGGGAACAATTTTTGCACTGCTATTGTCCACCGGGAAAACCGGTGGTGGTTTAAAGAGAGTCCAAGAATCCTCTTTGGAGGCAGCTGCCGACACAGGTTTCCCCTTGGGCCGCTCCTCAAACTTTTTGCTAGGGACCCCAACCTTGGCATCTGAGTTCTTCCGCTGTACATCCCCGACACTCGGCTTCCCACGGCCTGCCCCCATGGCCCCCGTCTCACACTTCCAAGCAAGTTTCATGCCATCCACTCTGCTCCCCTTCATTTCAACGCAGTCAGATTTGAAACCTTCAGAGTCCTGCTTTAAGGCTGAGGTGGTGACCACGGGCTCGTGGGGCATTTTCTCCTGCACCAGATTCAAGTTCTCGCAGCCCTTGGCACTGTTGCGCCTACCTTTCCGCTTCTTGGGAGTGGTGTAGCCACTCTCTGACCCACTCCCGTCATTGTCCAGCCCTTTGCTGACGTAACCATTGGTTATATAGCTACAGCTGCTCGTGATGACACCATTGGGAACAGAGACCACCTCGGGCTTTTCAGAGGGTTGGTTCTCTCTCGTTTTGTTTTCATAACATTTCTCATTCCTTCTGTCCATGCCTCCTTTTGGAATGAAATTCTTGGATTTGAGTCCAGCTTTTCCAAACGTGCCACCCTTCACAGCCGGTCTGAGCGTGAGGCTAGTATCGCCGAGTTGCTGGCTACCGTTGGGAACCCTGGAAATAAGGCTGGCTGATTCCACCGAGTTCAGACTCTTTACAGATGCTTCTCTTTCCCCAACATTCCCATTCAGCTCGCCGTGCCCTGCAAAAAGCAAAAGAAGATGATGAGTCTCCACAGCAGGCTTTTAACACTTCTCAGTTCCACGTATAAAACTGCCACAGGGTGGCTGGTTTTTATTTTGTTTAAATATATATAGTATTTTCCCTTATCTGCTCAAGCTATTTCATTTTGGAAATTCTTGGAACAACCCAGAAAGACACGCTGCTGACTATTTTCCCCATATTAAGGAGGGAGAAATGTGCTTCTTAGCCTTTTTGGGGAGAAAGGAATGGCGAACACCAGCACCTGAAACGGCCAGTGAAATGCCTCTGCACTTGAGAACCTCAAAGGCACAGAGATGAAAGACACACCTGCTGTGTTTCAGCTTGCTTAAGACACTGAAGAAACTCCTGGCTGAACCAACATTTGAATTCAAGACATACCCGTATGGTATCCCCGAAGAACTGTCCCACCTCACAGCTTTCCTATAGAGGGTATAACCTTGTGGGAAATTTCCAAGGTGGAATATATTGTATTCAATATCTAAACTGAACTCTTGCCCAAGTAGCCAGGACCTGCAAGTGCCTGTTAGTTTGTATGTTCCTCAAATATGAGACAACTCTATCCAAAACATTGCATGCTCGTTTATTACCTTAGACTTATAAGCCGCCTTCCCCTCCATAGCAAGGCTCAGGGCGGGTAATAACAATTAAAATTTAAAACACCCTACAAAACTATCTTATACAATTATCAAACTATCAAGTCAGCACACATAAAACTAATACGGCATAAATATCATCAATAAGAGGGGAGGGATGGCAAAACAGATGAGCCATGGCTAATCCGCACCCATGGGCCTGGTGGGACATCTCTTGTCTTGCAGGCCCTGCGAAATTGTCTCAGATCCCGCAGGGCCCAGGTCTCATTAGACAGAGAGTTCCACCAGGTTGGAGCCACATTAGCACATTACCCATAAATACTCAGAGTCCAACATAAATGCACACTAAAACCAGAAGTCCAATGAAGACAATAAAAGATATGCACAGATTTTAGGATGACACCTGAGGCATTTCCAGTTCTTGCTCACCAATGAGAAAAATATGGAAAACATAAATAACTAGCTTGTTAAGGAGAAGACTAAGTTAGACGCTGTAAACGCCAAGGACTCAGTGCTCTTCATCCTGGCCGTGGGCTATTTGCTGCAACATTCAGCCTTCCATTACCCGGGGAATTATTTTGCATAAAGATGCCTCACCCCTCACTTGTCTAACTAGGTATAGTCCAGACACAGGTTTGCCATCTCTGCAAAAACATGGCCCAAGAAGACAGGCACAAAACCACCATTTACCAGAAGTTAAGAGACCCCTTGCTAAAAGCCAGAGTCCATTTGCTGAAGCCGGGGCATCAGCAGTTTCTTCATGCCAGCCCTTCAGAGTCAGCTGTGAAAAATCCTTTCAAGCCAAGCAGGATCTTTGTCTGGGTGAGAACCACCATGTGATTCAATAACATTCTGATACACACTGTGTATAGTAAACCGGGTTAGACTAACAGAATACCCCCATTTCTGAATACTACTTCACCCAAGAGAAGAGCCAGCATGCCTCAGAAAGGCAGCAGAGAAAGACACCTTGCTTGTTGGGCATTGCAAAACATGCACACAGACCAAGGTCCCAATAGAAAGAACACGAGCATTCTGAGGGATGGAGGGGAAACTGGCAAGAGAAGGACATCGGCAAACACTAATGGGACTGTTATCAGCATAGCACAGTCCAGATGGCAGCCACCACAGTAACCCTGTAGTACCACACCATCAAATCCAAGGGAACGAACTTCACAAAATGAACCTTGATCAACTAAACTTAGAAGTCGTTGTGTGTGTGTGTGGGGGGGGCATTTTTCTTCACTTGTTTCTATTACTTTCACAACTTTAGCCATTATGCTTGCAAATGTATCTCCACATGGGGGCTGCAAACCTATTCAGTTTTTTAACAGATCAAAGGTCAGATTTCCAAGGATACCAAGGGACACATGCCTTTAGGAGTATGCATAGCTCATCAGTTTTCTATGGCAAGTGACAGATAACAGATAAAACAGTACTTTTGGTTCATCTGAGGAACGAATTCTTCAAAATGCTTCTAATTATAAATGCAATGCTCCCTTATGCTGTTGCAGCCATCTCCCAGTGGTTGCCAAAAGCTGGCTTGCAAAGGTCTCCATGTAGAAGAGAAGAAAATGGTGTTAAAAACCCAAAGAAAGCTGTGCTGCCATCCTCCATCTTTCAAACCAACACAGTAAGTCAGAAGTGGTACTGTTACATTCTAAGAATAAACCCACCAAAAGAACCCCCCTCCCCAAAAGACACAGGGATCTTGATATACACGCCCTCAGCCACACTTGACACACAAACCTCAGAGATTAACAGATTTAAGAGCAGGCTTATTTTTTATTTTAGCTGTTTCTAAGCTTTCTACCTTCATGGAATCCCTTCCAACAAAATGTTCTTAGTGAGGAACCCCTGTGCAGGTGCTGCACAACGCCAGCACACTGCAGAGGATTTGGGGACACGTTCTACAGCACTGCTGGGTCTCAAATAAACTGAAAGCACAGCCTTGAATGCACCCAATACTCCCTTTAGCAGCACACTGTATGGGAAGATCAGCAGGAGTGGGCAAGCTCCTCCAGCATGCCTGATCTTTTCACTGAGGAAACTCCAGGCAAGAAGCCTCCAAATACCCACTGGTCTACTTCAAACACCTTCTGGTTAATACAAGACAGGGGCAGCAGTGTTAGGTCTAAACCTGGAAACAGGGAAAGGTCTCCACTCCAAGATGCACCCAAAACAGCAGTGACAATGTGGAAAGTCAGCACGTGCTGCCAATTCAACAGAAAGTTCATGTTGCCCAAAAAGGAGTCAAAAATAACAAGTCGTCATTTTGACAAATCCAGGTACAACAGCATCATGGCTTTTTGTGTCTAAGCAGTCGGCGAAAGGGATGTCTTACTGGATCATCTTTACATTGGTAGGGGAGTATGTTATTAAACAGAGCAGAAGTTCTGAAAGTATGTTAGCCTCTGTGTGGGTCCCGACTCGCCTAAATGCCCTCCAAAACATTAAAAAGCCCCAGCATCATAAACATGAGGATTCTTAAGGTCACATGTGAAGGTCTGGAGGGGGGGGGAACACAGAACATTTATTTCAAAACACCACTTTTCTCCCAATTTTTTCCCAGACCTTCTCATCTCTAACCCTAGCACGAGCAATTGCAACAGAAGCAGGAAACTGAATCAACCCCCCCCCCCAATTTGTCTCTCCACTTCCTGAAATTTATTCAGAGACACAGATGCACACTTAATTAGAAGAGGCATCAAAGTAACAGTTTTATCACCTTCATCTTGATATCAATGGCATAACCTGGTCACCAGAGAAAAGGATCTTGCTATTTTACAATTCACGGTCCAGATTGTTCTTTTTTTTTTTATGCTTTGTTTGCTATTCTACTATTTTAATTCCATTTATGAAAACTGCTTGCCAGTGAGGAATAAGTGGGCAAGCATCATTCATTTTTGTTGGTTAATGATGGCCAGATGTCTGGGCCACCCAAAATCCAAAGGCAACACTGTGACCTTTGGCAAATGTCTTCTTCATAATGATCCGAATGGAAACATGCTCCATATTTTAGCAGCTTTAGACTTTTAGAAAGTCTCAAAATGGAAATTAGTTCAATCCTTCAAATTATTCACTATGCATATTCAAGAAATGTGTGGATAGCAGCTGCCTGTCAGAAACAAACCAACACATTTATGCAACTGTTGCGAACACAGGATGCTGGCCGACATCAAACTAAAAAAACGGCCCACCTTGGCCAGCAACGCCTCTGCAACAACAAAAGATCTCAAGTCTCTTCCAACCCACTTACCTGCCATCCTCCCAACTAGCCTTACCAAGGTATGACTTTAGGACCTTCTTCATGCAAGTCATCTGATCACCTCATGTACGGTATTCACCCTGGTTCTTTAAAAAGCCCATGCCTTAGCAGGGGTTTTCAGACCCACCCTGAGGCTTTCTCACCCAATGACTGCAACAGAAATATAGGCTAAACCACAGTGCCACTTGACACATAAACCTCACACCCAACTATGGTCTGGAGTCCCCAGCCGACTTTCTTAGGAAGGCTTACTTTTAGGGTGACTCTGGATCAAAGGACATTTATACCTAAAAGAGTTGAAGAAAGGTTTTCCTAGAATATTCCACCTGTAAAATTAGATGCAAAAGGAAAAGGGGGGGGGGGGAAGGAGGGTTGGGATGTCACAGATCAGCAAAATCAAATCCAAAATTTGCTGCTATATCGCCACTGCATACAGGGCTTGTCTCAGGTGTTCTGATCCCACTGCACAGCGCCCTAAAAAAGGTACAGAATCCCCCACAAAACATACCGCCCTTTCTTCCTCTCCCTAGCATTAGTCCCCAAAGCCCTGCCCCACAGGTAACCCATAAACTCCTGCCACTAGTACCATCCACAAGTCTTGCCAGTGGACCTATGGAGGTTCAGCCATAAAGCTCCATGGCAGCTGGGGGGGGGGTCATATTCCTCCTACCTTTACCCCCACCCTTAATGTCATGTACTGCATTTTATTGCTGCTTTTAAAGTTTTTTTGGGGGGGGCTTGCTTTGGGGGGGTCAATCATAAAACTCCACAGCAGCCGGGGGAGCCCCACATTATTCCTACCTTTGCCCTTGCTTAATGCCATGCCCTGCAGTCTATTACTGCTTTTTATGAAAAGGGCCAGGCCTTTTAATTTATTTATTTTTAAATTATGGTTTCCTTGATGTGTCACCTCAGGAGCCACATGGTGAAGAAGTGGGGTATCATCATTAAAGAACAAATAAAATCGGGTGCGTGCGGGGAGGGGGGGGAATAGGAGACCCCTTCTACTGAAACCCCTGAGGCGCGACCCGAATAGCTGCTCCTCCACTCCTGAGAGGGATCTCCTGCCCCTCGGGAAGGGCCTTTCCTCGGGCAGCCCCACACATACCCCCCCCCCACCCCACCCGCGGCCCGTCGCCTGGGAGGAGGCCCTTTCCAGCCGCCCCCTTTTACGCTCCCCCCGTCTGAGGGAAGACGAGGGTCCAGTTTGGGCGGGCGGCCAGGCCAGGCCAGGCCGGGGCGGTGGCCGGTTGGGGGAGTCGCCTCAGCAGCCGCCGAGCCCGGCCGCCTCTTCTCCCGCCCAACATGGCGGCGGCTGGAGGAGGAAGCGGCCCCGGAGAATGTTCCAGCGGGGCCGGGAAGGACGAGGGCCGGCCCGACGCAGAAGCGAGGCCGGCGAAGAAAGAAAGGGAAGGCCTGGCTGGGCGGCTGGAGGAGGAAGCGGCCCCGGAGAATGTTCCAGCGGGGCCGGGAAGGACGAGGGCCGGCCCGACGCAGAAGCGAGGCCGGCGAAGAAAGAAAGGGAAGGTCAGGCTGGCCTAGGCCGCTCTCCCGCCGCCCCTTCCCAGGCCGGGCGGCGGGCATTCAGACCCCCCGCCCCGCCGCCACGTTCGGTGGCACTTCCTAGGGAGATGGGATTTGGCTGTTACTCATGCGATAATCAGGATCAGATTACTGTAAAAGGTTCTATGTCACGCTGCCTTTGAAGACACTTTCGAAGGTTTGGGTGGTGTCAAATGTCACAGCTAGACTGCCAACTGCTGCTCATTAGAGAGACCACAACTCACCAGTTTTAAAACATCTGCACTGGCTGTCTATTCATTTCCAGGCCCAATCCCAAATGCTGGTATCCCCTTTCATGTCCTCAGTGGCTTGGGACCCAAAAGACCCTCTGCTCCCCTGGATTTCTGGGCCTGCCTGCTGAGCTCTTCTGTGAGGAAAGGCAGCCGGCTACAAGAGGCAGGGCTCTGGGGGCCCAGTCATGAAAAGCCTCCCCTCAACCAGCCACCGGAGGCAGGCGCGGCTGTTCCTTGGTTTGGGCTGAGCTTATGTGGCCAACCAAGAGAGCTTTAATCCTCGTTCTTGGATGCCTGATGATTCTAAGGCAGCGGTTCTCAACCTGTGGGTCGCGACCCCTTTGGGGGTCGAACGACCCTTTCACAGGGGTCGCCTAAGACCATAGGAAAACACAAATTTTCGATGGTCTTAGGATGGTCTCCTCCTCCTCCGCTGAAGAACCGCGGGAGCTTCCCGTGCTGGGTGATGCCGGCGTGGGGAGGCGGCCGTTCCCGGGACACGCACTCAGCCGGCGCCCGCCCGTCGCTCCCTCTGCTGCTGGGCGGCCGGCCGGAGCGGGGCAGGCGAGCGGACTGGCAGGCCGGCTCCAACCATCCAGGGGCTTCCGGCCCGGCTCGCCCCGCCCCTGCTCCCGCTCCGCCCGGGCTGGCTGGGCCCAGCCAAGCCAACGTCAGCACTTCCCCGGCTGGCGCGGCGGGGGCGCCTCCGCCCGCCCCTCCTCCTCCTCCTCCTCCTTCTCCAGCCCTGCCGGGGAGACGCCGGGGGCGACCCGCCTCTCCTCCCCCAATCCGGGGATGCGGCAGCCGCCGCCCTCGCCGTCTGCCCTCCTTCCCCGCTGGAGATCCGTCGGGCTCATTTCCTTTTGGCCAATTCTTTTTCGTTCGCACGAAAGTGGGGTTTGGTGTTTTCCTAAATCTATTTTCTGCTTCCGAAGACGACCGGAAAGAAAGGAAGCCGACGGAAGGTCACGCGCAACCCGGATCCCGACGAAGCCTGCTGACTCGGGATTGGACCGGGGATTCTGGCTCCGCCGGGCAGCCGGATCGAGGCAGGTCGAGGGGCCGTGCTGCCCGGCAGGAGCGTGCCTAAGACGGGGCCGGGGGTGCTGGGGCCGGTCGGGGTCTTCGAAAGCGGATCGGAGTTGTGCGCGCGTTAGGCCAGTGCCGTCAGCCCTGGGTACGGTGGGGTAAGGTAAAGGTCAAGGTTCCCTTGCTCGAAAGCCAGTCGAATCCGACTCTAGGGTTACGGTGATCATCTCAGTTTCAAAGCCGAAGAGCCAGCGCTGTCCGAAGACGTTTCCGTGGTCATGTGGCCGGCATGACTAAACACCAAGGCGCACGGAACGCTGTTACCTTCCCACCGAAGTGGTACCTATTTATCTACTTGCAATTCCTTGTTTTCGAACTGCTAGGTTGCCCCGTGGTAAACCGGGGATCCTGATTCTGCCCTGCTCCCCTGCCCGCAGTTTGGGCGATGAGTTCATTGCAGCCCAAGCAAAGGACCCCACTTGGTGGGAATGGGGTTTAAGTCATGGGGGGGCATTCATACCAGTCCCCAGGAGTCCCCCCCCCCACTGCCAGAACCCAACTTCCGCCTGGGATGGGTTGCAAGAGACAGACTGGGCACCTTCGGACCTCAGGCAAAAAAAAGAAAAGAGAGAGCCCTGCCCACCACTTTGGAGGGGGCTCCAATCCTGCTACAAGCTGTGAAATGCCACAAAAGACACCTCCCGCCTTTGATGGCATTTCAGCTCTGCCATTCAAGTATTTGTTAACATTTCTCCCTGTCTTTGTACTCAAGAGGTTTCATTTCATTCCTCTGACCCAGCAGATGGTAGCCCCTGAATACCTCTGGCACAGGGTGCCACAAGCAGTGCTCCCTCTCAGCTGTGGAGTCTTGTGAGCAAAATTTCTACTTTGTGAGCTACTGGCATTAAAGTTGTGAGCCACTGCATACATTAGTTTGCTCTGGAGCCATCCTTCCTGAGCGGAGACAAAAATGTGTGAGCCGGAGGCTAAAAAAACTGTGAGCTAGCTCACACTAACTCAGCATTGGCCACAAGACCCCTTCTTTGCGCCCTTCCTTTTGCAGTTGTTCCTGTTTCAGTACATCCCTGCCCTTGCCTGCCTATCACTTGGAAGTTCTCCCAACCCCATGGCTCTGAGAGCAGCTCTACTCTTCATCAAAATTGGTTAGAGGGCTTTTAGCCCTGTGCTGGAGCAATAGAGGCCCACATTTAGGTGACCCCTTTCCTGCACCTAGCCGAGGAAACTTGTTACTCTTTGGCTGTGGCAGGCTTAATATTGCCTCTGCACAGGAGGGAATTCCTCGTTTTGATCCCACTGCGCTTGCAAACACAAAGGCATTTGAAGTAGCAGGGAGCTTCCACACAGGGTCTAGTTCCCCATTCCCCCCCTCATGCATGCCATTTCTATTTCCAGGGAACTTCTGCCTCCTCCCCTCCCAGCAATAGTTTTATTAGTCCTACTGATTTAAAAACTGTAACCAGCGGGATGAAAGGCGCACCAGATGGGGGCGGGACACTACAGAGATACACCTTCCCTTCCTCACCCGCTTTGACCTTTTAGGAAAGATTGTGCCAAAGCAAATCTTAGTGGGAAACCCAGAAGGCAAATGACTGGGCGCAAGTATTACACAGAAGGCAGATCTGGGTCTTTGATTATTTGGAGGACAAATAGGTAGGACTCGAATCATATGGATTAGCTTGGGGACAACATTCATCTTTCAGATGTTAACTTTAACCCAGATTGTGAAAAGTTTTCATCTCTTTAGATCCTTCATAATGCTTTTTGCTGTTTAAGGCAAACATGTCCTCTACAGATTAATAATCCTCAATATCCAGAGTCTTGTGTGGTCCATGGTCCATTTCTAGGGCCAGTGTAATGCTGATGGGCTGATAGGGATATCTCCAGTTGATTGCTGCCGTTTTCTCCCAGTTTGTTTCCAGATTTAATAAAATCTTTTAATTTAGGAAGAATGTGATCTGGATATTCCAAAAACAGTGTGTTATCCTCATATCACGGTAATTTGATTTCTCTTTCTTCCGTCTTTATTCTCTTAATGGTTGTATCCTGGCCTATCGCACAAGCTAATGGTTCACGAGCGCAGTTAAACAATAAAGGGAACCAGAGGCAGCCCTGCCTAGTTCTCCTGCTAATTGTAAAAGGCTGCAGATGGTAC